TTTTTTGAAAGATTAAATTAAATTATTTTTATTTTTATTTTGTATTAGCATATTCATTGTTACAAATCATTCCCGTATTGTTCTTTTTGATCAAAAAGAGAATCAGCAATGGCACATGAGTGTGTGTAGCAAGTCTAAATGTGCGTGACGTCAATACGCAGAAGAGTGGAAAACAACTGAAGGACAGGGCAAAGGGAGATTTACAAATTACACACTGAGCACACTGAGGAAAACCCCAAACGAAAGCCTATTTGGAAATCAATGCATCGACTCACAGCTTCCTCCTCCTTGCTGAGCAGTTTGGCGCAGGACAAAAAATCTTCATACTTCGCATAAGGAATAACTGGTTCTGGAAGTTCTCGGAGATACAGTTTAAGAAGAGATGCCACCGTGTGCACGTCTGTGTTGCTGTGGAGACAGAGATGTGAAGGTAGGCTTTGGAGTGAACTTTACACCATTTATTTTTTCATCAAATCTACATCTAAGAGTCAGAATTCTATTCGAGTTGGCGATTGAATCCATCAGTCTAGTTTTCAGGGGCACACACGAATGTATTGCCTATTAGGTGCCACCACAGGTGTGGAGAAGCAGGACACAGAAGGACACTTAGAACCCTCAGTGGGGTTTGAAGATATCTGAAAGTTCAAGCATTTTTCTTTTGTGTGTGTTTGATGAAAATACACACAAAAAAGTGTTAACTTTAGAAAACAATGAGAACATATCAGACCTTAAATAAAATATAATGCAACTTAACAAAAAACATCAAATCTACATATGTGTGTGTATGTGTTTTCAATGTCAAAATTAGTTCCTTCTGAATCCTCACTTTGTCTCTTAAAATGTTAGATTCTTTTTTGAGAAGACGTTGGTGAATGGTTATAGATACTTGAGGCATAGTATGACGTGCTGCAGCTTTTTAAGCAGAGCTCATTTTGAAGATGTTTAACTCTCAGAATAATTGCTTATCTAATTTTCTAAGATAATTGGGAATCCTTAGAGTCTTCTAGAATGAGAAGAGAAATATTACAAAAATAAACAATGAAAACTTAACATGTTCTTCACATAACCTGCATAATTTATTTTTATCCTCTGCTGAATAGCAGAGTGGCAGGATAATTTATTGAAATATTAATTTATGTTTTGTTCTCTCTATCTTCCTAGTGCCTGTTAATGAAGACGGATGACAGTAAAGACAGGAAGAGGGTTCTTTTTGTTTTGTTTTTTGTTTTTTATTTCAGGGGAGAAGTAGGAGGAGCATGAAAGGTTGATAGATTCCCTTGAATCAGCAAGAGTAGTAATGAACAAGTCTGGGGATTCTGTAAGTCGTGAGAACATACCCCTCACTCCCAGGCTATGCTGCAGGGAGCAACACATTCCCAGAGGGCTATGACTTGAGAAGATGGCATGCAGGCACTAGGATTTCCTGCCTCAGTGAATATTCTCTTATCCCCAAGGTTGTCTAGAAGCAGAGTCGACCTCACAAAACTATATGAGCTGGGGTACTGGGCTTCTTAGTCCTCAACTTTGAACTCATGGGTTGATTTCATCAGGTATTTACTGCACACCAACTCTGTATTAGGTCATATAGAAAACACAGTGGCTAGGACCCCAGGGATTAAAAAAAAATGCATTATTCTAGCCTGCTCATAACTTGTAACCTAGTGGGGACAGAAGATGTTAAGTCAATGAAAATACAAGTATGTAATTACAAAGTGTGGTGCCTGGTAATAAGGAAAATTCTTGTATGCCATCTAATAACAAGAGAGGACTAATCTAGGGTTTGGTGGGGGTTCTCTGAGGAAATGATGCTTGGGCCAAGATCTGAAGGGTGTATAAGAATGAAGTAACTGAGAGCAGAACAGAGGAAGGCATTCTGATAAAGCAAGGAAGGGAAAGAACCTAAAGTGGGAGGGAAGCTCGTGTTCTTGAAGAACTGACAAAAAGCTGGAAAGACCAGCGCTCAGGGTCGGGCTGAATAAGGTTTGAGCAGGAGGCAGCATCCTCAAGGACCATAGAACTTCACCTGCCCATGGCAGGGGCTGAGGCTTTCCATTTTGACTTTGGGGTCTGTCAGAACAGGCATATTGTTAACCATTTTGCACATGTTAAAATGAGAGAGGTGATTTAATAGGAGTTGTTTAAATTAATTAATTTTATTCTTTTCATAAATAAATAAATACATTTTTTTCTTCTAAAATTCTGAACTGATAATATAGAAAAGGTCATTTTAAAGACTGGTAAAGAAAATAAAAATCATGTCTCCAGGACATCTTGAAAACTGTGACCAAGCTCATTAGTTCATAAAAGTAATTTCCATTTTATTTTTAAAGATAGACCTAAAATAGTCTCAATGGTAAGACAAAGAAGACACTAAGGGTTTTTTTTGTTTTGTTTTTTTTCTAGAAAACCACTCTATTTCATGTCTATCGAAGCCCTCTGTTTCTCTTGCCAAATA